GAATAAGGCTGGGTTGTTTTCTTCTTTAGCGTGAGTCAGTCTCCTAGGTATGTGTATATATGTTACCTATAACATATATAATATATTCTATAATATTAATGTATTTCCCCTTTAACGTGGCCAAAGTCCTCGGTATGAGTTGCTCTGCATGTAGAAGCAAAGAAATATTCTTTCGAGTGGAACTGCACTTTTGCTGAATAATCACGTGTGAATTTAGGGGCGGGCTCTTGGCAAACAGTTTTTTACGAGTATTTACTACAAGGTCTACTCCCGAAGATTAACCATCCCAGTACTTCTGTCAGTCTCCGATGCCATGCCTGGTTAAAAACTCCCCCAAACTCACCTATTTTCGATCGTCAGTCACCCTAAAGAATGGCCGAGCCTTTGGTGAACGATTTGACGTCCGCATCTGCAAAGGGGGACCTAGTGCAACTTACTAATTTGTTGCAAAAGATTGTAAACGTCAATGCCCAAAATGGATTTGGGAGGACTGCGCTGCAGGTTGGTATCCAGAGAGAGAGAGAGAGAGAGAGAGAGAGAGAGAAATATTTCATCACTGCTACCTCCGTGACCCGCGTTACAGAAAGCCCGATTCTAACTAGGCTGGTGTACAGAATTTCTGTATTTTTTAACCTAGTTGGTTGCCATATTTTATAACTTTAGTGGCTCCAACTCCCTAAAATGACGTACTTGTAATAAAACTGGCCAAAACCATTATTTTTAAACGGGGATCATCCTCAATATCAAATAGGCTGCCAGTTTAATCCAATTTTAATATTGAGGGAAGGGGAAGGAAGGCAAGGAAAAGGTGGATGATATGAAAAGAAAACATCCTAGCTGAGCCCTGTTTCAGAGACGATTTGTAAACACATAGGTCTTATTACTCGAGGTGTTGTGTTGTATTTTTATACGGAGTGTTTTTAAACCATTAATGTTCGCGATTATTTATTCTGGAGTGAATGGTGCTTTTCCTTTATACGATGTTTTTGACGAATGACCTTTCTGCATTTGGAAACATGCTGCACGGGCACTCCGTACCTTTAGATGTACATTAGCAACTGGACGAATGAGTTAGACTTCAGTTTGAATCACTTGCCGAGCCATTCATAATTAAGGCTCAATAAAGATAGTATTGTCAATCAGGACCCTAGTGGATGGACTCAAAATATTTCATTTCTGAGGCTATAAGATTGTTTGGCTTAATGGTCAATATTTAGATGTACAGGCAGTAGTTGGAACACATCCAACTGCGAAATACTGAAATTGAGTAAAGTTTTCTTTATTTAAGAGCATCATAATGATGGTGAAAATGTTACAATACAGACGAAAACGTGAAACAAGCAGTTGTTCCCTGAGCTGAAATTCTGTGGCAATTTACAGGAGAGAGGTAAATAAGGGGAGGTGGGGGGGGGGGGGTTAAGTTCACAGTTTTAAAAACGTGTTTTTGTTTTAAAATGCGAACTGCTGAAATGTTCCTTTCAGACACTGTATTATTTGAGACTGAAATCCAGATTTTTACTGCGTTTTTGGCTTAAAATCAAAATTAAACTCTGGAAAAGAGGAAATTCTTGTATGAACACAATAATAATTCTTATTTTTCTGTTTCACTGAAGCTCAAGAACTATGCGATTATCCTTGCAATATTATTGCTATTACTATTGTCACATAGGTGTGGGACTTGTGAGACGCGCAGACACCTTATTAGAGAATGAAAGAGCTTATATAAAAAACGGAGACAAACTAACTTCTGTTAGGAAATCAGGAAATGTTTAGCCAATATTTTATCTTTAAAATGAGGCTGAAAAATACAGTTGCACTGAAGTAAATGTAAGGCTTCAAAATAACGGACTTACATTGGGAAATATTCTACACAGTGACATACATTTTCAGCTATCTTAAACATAAGATAGTCACTTAAATTGCAGCTTAATCATAACCGATTTGATTAACCATAGCACAAATCAAAACAGAGTTGGCTAGCTACTTATTTTCAGTATGTATAAACCTGAAACATGCTGTGGGTAGGTGACAGAGCTCAAGAATATTTTCAGTCAACATTCTCTAATATTGTTCACTCGGTACTGAACCGGATGAAAGTGAAATTGTATTTTATTATACCAATATGCTAATATAAACAGCTACTTTTATAAATATATCCTCTTCATTTTCTTTTTGACTTTGAGTACTCATGCAGGCCTTAGATATTGAGTTTCCAGTTTGACCTCCTTCAGATTTGTTCTAAAGATCTTATGTCTTACCCCATTACCCCCTGCCGCCCCCAAATTACAAAATAATTGATATTTGAAGAGACAGTTCTAGCCTAAATCGGCCTAGCATTACCTTTATATAATATATACATTTATTTCATTTTTTCGGCTTCAAGTGCTGCCTTTCAGTGCCATATCCTGTCATCTTTGCTTACTCAAAACTCACTCTGAAGTTTTCGAGTGAGCAAGGAATCGAGGATGGGCTCCCCAAAAGAATTGCAGATACGTTTAAGGTATCTGAAAAAAGGAAGAAAGGAGGACGATGCCTTCGCTTATTTTCCAGAAGTATAGCTGTACCTTTTATACTCTCTAGTTGAAAGGAATGCAGGTAATATGTAGGAAACATTCAGTTATCACTTATCCCAGATAACCTTTCCCCAATCCGATTTGTAGATTCAGTACTGTTACAGTACACATATTATAATATAGGGGATGTATATGTGCCTTTCCCCACAAAACCTAATTCACATTTGTTTTCAGTAACAACACATTTTCAACAAATGCCTCGTAGAATTTGTAATTTGTGTTTACTTTAGTGCAACTGTAATCCTTGTTTATGCTAATAATAAAAAGCTCTTTGCAAGATTTTCAAGATATCAGCTGGTGCTAGTGAAAGACAGCAAGATTTTCAAGATATTGGTTAAAAATGTTCTAAAGAAGTAAAGGCAGTATTTTTCCCTTATCGAGGTTGTTAATAAAATTGTCTCCTTGCTAGAGCAGTTGAATGCAAAGTCTTACACAGCCTGCAACGTCGGAAATTAAGAACTATCTTGTTTCATTATTTTAAAGGCTAAGGGACAGAAGTTCTGGCGAATTTTGGGGTCGGGCCAAGCCACTCAAACTCCTAATCAGAGATGCCCATGTGCTCACTTATAATAGGTTAATGATAAAGAAATAAAGTTTTACTTAACAAAAAGAATCATTAGGAACACTGATCGCTCTTTTCTACCATGGGTTATTTTTAACAGCACACATTCACAGATTAGACTAAAATTATGAAGCTATGAGATAAATCTTTCTTTTTACAATAATTTAGGTGAACTTTAAGTCGTTGCTCTTAAGTTCTCCATTTTGGGCAGCACACAATGAACCATAGCTCTTGCAGAAAACCTGAAAGGATTATTTTCTGCAGAGAGAAGTGCGGCACATTATACGATCATACTGACACTTACTGACAAGAAACAGACAATTTAAACACTTCCATTGAAGAGTTTATCCCATTTCGTGTTATTGAAAGTATACAATATCAGAGCCTCAGAAAGTCATCCATCTTACACTTAACGGGTTTAAAGAGGTAAATGAAATTTTCTAGATATTCATGGTAAGTGAAGCCGACCTATATATAGTTTTTAGCAATGAAAAGACTGAGATGAAAAGGCAGTATTATAAAAAGCAAGATAACCTCAATATTCCATACTAGCTAATTTTGACATTAATCTTCTGTAGTTCAAGAAGATATTTCTCACTGGAACAATACAGCTAATCGTAAATTTACTGTGGTTAGTGCAGAAATTAGAAAGTTACGCTTCCCCTCACATTAATTTTCTAACGGGCTTCCTCTGCATAGATAAAATAGGTCTCCCTCTGGAAGAAAGCTCAAATATAAAAATTAAGATTCTAAAGTGAGTGAAACGAGCAATTCTAAAATTATTTACAGGATTAAACTCTTATCTTTTCCTCTTTAGGTAATGAAACTTGGGAATCCTGAAATTGCCAGGAAGTTGCTAAATGCAGGTGCTAATCCTGATCTGAAAGACAGTACTGGGTTCGCTGTAATTCATGATGCAGCCAGAGCGGGTTTCCTGGACACGGTGCAGACTTTACTGGAGTTTAACGCTGATGTTAACATTGAGGATAATGAGGGAAACCTGCCGTTGCACTTGGCAGCTGAAGAAGGCCACCTCCCAGTAGTGGAATTCCTTATTAAGCACAAAGTAAGCAAGGTGGACCATAAGAACAAGGAGGGTTACACTGCCTACGACTTGGCCAAGCTATACAAGAAGAACGATATAGTTAAACTAATGGAAAGCAGCAGTTTAAGTGCAGAAGCTGCAGACATGAATTAAATCAAACACGGACAACTTCTTACTTAGACCTACGAGCTTCTAGCCCTTGTTTTGAATAACATTTATTGAAACATTTTTCTTTTTTTTAAGTAACTAGTGCAAGTCTAGTGAAACTGCAAAGGTGTAGATTTTGTAGACAGTGAATATATTTAAAAATCACACCAATAGCATTTCCTGCACCTGCCATCCCCAAAACGCTAGAAGAGACACAAGACGGACATACGTTGATCGCTTTTGCTTATCTCTTGCAGATTATAGTTTTACACTTCCTTCGTTTGTTTTAGATCACTAATACAGAAAAGGCTGTATACTAAAATGCTTCTGATATTTACGTTTTTAAAATGTTTTACTGTTATTTTTTCTGAAGATCATGACTAACAATTTTAAGCACTGTTTCTGACAAAACAGGACAGTAAAGAGTGTAGTCAGTGGTTCAGGCAAAGTTAAAGGGACATTTGGCCTAGAAAGACAGCAGGATGGGGCCCTACAAGTATTAGGAAATAGCTATTTTTGGACACTAATTAGATCTTTTAAAACTAGATAATTTGCTTTCTACATTGAGATTATACTTTTAGTTTCCTCTATATTTAATCTCTCACACATCTGAAATTGATGAACAGAACCAATGTAAGTGGCTTTTTGATTACCAAGATTAAAACAGCTTGGTTGTTCGTGTTTTCTGTGCACTGAACAAAACACTTTTCTAGTTTCAAAACAAGCCGCAGACAATCGTTGTCAAAGGAAAGAGTAGAATAAGGCTGATATACCAACAGATATATCCCAGTTATCTGGCCACTTCACAATCGAAGAAAAGGCAGAAGTTATTTAAGAAATATTTGCTTCCCACCAACTTTTTATTTTAATTAACCGTTTTTATTGAAGTTGCGTATCCTAAAATGTGGATATTGAAATACAGTGGAATTTAGAGGGTAACACTTTTGCTTTTCATAACATTATATTATCGCTTGCACGTGAAACACACTTACCCTGAATATCTTAAACAACATTAAGGTTGGTAGCATTCCTTCGACCCACACTACCATCGGATGCTGAGCGCTTTCTGCTTCCCTGACCGCAACAAGCGCTAAAGATGTTCAGCACCTTGTCGGACTGAAGTTTATTGTCAACATTTTATACCACGTTATAGGTGTTAGTAGTTTGGCATATCGGCAATTTTAGACGCTTTATCTTTAATATTCTAAACATTTTAACTGCACTAAAGAGATGGAATCAAATATAAATGAACACATTCGCAAATGTCACCAAAACAGCATTGATAAAGGAAATTAACTTTAATTAAGATTATTTTAACTTTTCGGAAAAGGTTTTAGCCCCCAATCAAACAACATTCTTGGTAAATAAAGTTTTCATAAACTGCTTATCCCCTTTGATGTTTACTTTTCACTCACTGTCACATTGCTGTGATATTGGTTAAAAATGTCTCTGACCTGTGTGCATTTATTGTCGATGTTATAACTTCTGTTCCTAAATAATCTAACCACCTAAACAGGATGCTGTATGTGGTGCACGTTTTGTGGAAGAATCTACACAATAAATTACATGGAGATTATTAAAAGAAACATATTTGGAGTTGTTATAACCTTTGAGTGCAATTCACAAGCCGATGGGCTACACGGCTACAAACAAACCCCTGCTGGTGCTCACAGAAAGGCCTTGTCACTTGCCACTGGGCATAAAACATTGCCTAATGTCCTCATTCATTTCCCATTTTTACAACTTGTCATTCACAATATCTGTCTTTACCCTATAGAGCTGAATCTCCCCGATGCTTTCCATCTTTCTCCCACACAACCACAGGAGAAAATTCTCTAACTCTGAAGGCAACATTCATCTGTGGCGCTGCCTTGCTTCTATGGCATCTGCTATACTAAGCTAGATCTTCCTTCTGAGCTCTACAAATATCCAGTTTAATTTAAACTGAATCGGTCTAATGAATTCCTTCATAAAAACACTCCGGGCTCCAAAACTAATGCCCCGGGGTTCAAAAATGGCATTCATTGTAAGGAGGATGACCGAGTTACAACCCACTTCGGGTCCCTTTTTAGATTGGAATGTGTTTTCCAGTGAGACCAAGCTCCAGTTAGCAATGTATACAACAAATAATGTACAAAAGGACTCTCCTGATTTAAAGTTTTTTTTTACTACTTGACATTTCAATTGTAAAGAGTTCTTTATTTCTGAGAAACAAGAGTGGAAATTAAAATGCTCTTTCTGATATTTTAAAATACTATTTTTATATCCTTTTTTACATCAGGAAGTTTACAATAACTACACAACGACAGTTGGAAGGTAAAGACACACTTTTGCTACCATCAGAGATAACATCTGACATAAAGAAAGGAGACTGTTTATCTTTTCTGTTAAAACAACTTAGTTTACTGAGCATTGACAAAAAAGGGCTCTACAACAATAAGGATCCTCATAATGGAAAAAACTTGGCTAATTTAATGCGGTTTTAGAAATGACTTGTGGTTCCCTACCAATAGTTTACCATAAAAAACTAGTCTTACAAAGTTCCACGTTTGTGAATGTATCAATAATATTTAATAAGAGATCTAAAATAATGTAATGTACAAATTAGAACGAAATAATATTGAGGTAGTTTATCGGGATGTGAAAAGAATTAAAAGATAAATCCTGCTGATAAAAACAGAGATTAATGAAGCATTGAGGAATGGGGAATAAACAAGGTAGCATTAAGGTGAGCACATAAAGAGTGCAAATTCAGCAGCCAGAGAATAAATAGAATGAGAAAAACCCACGTAATAGGCAACTAGAGAGGAATAAACAAAAATCAGGCAATGTAAATATGCAAATTTTGCGAGTTGAGCCTCTCCAAAGGGAATACGCGGCTGGATTTGGCCTTTGCTTCTCAATTGACCTCGGGACAAGACAGTGACTGCTGGATTCCATTTGAACCAGGACAAATTTTTAAGTACTGCTGTATGGAATCAATGCAATCTAAATTATTTTAGCATCTTTGAAACAGAATGAAGTAACCAGTTTGTATGCCCTACTGCTAACAAAGAACTAACAGTCGAATACGAATGCAGATCAAGCGACCCATTTATATGTGATTATGATGGAAAAGTAAAGAATAAACTCTTTGCATTAAGCATATTAAAATAAATTCACTATCAGTGTTATTGCAGTACATGACTGCGTACTTAATTACATGAATGGAATTTGTTCTTATGGTTATCTATGCAACTAGGGGATTAAATACATGTTTTATTCAGTGGTGGGATAATACATGAACTATGAAGTGCCAATGCAAGGCTCACATAAGGCAAAGTCGCAACATCATTTAAAAATAACATTTTTAAGCTTTTAAAAATATAACGCCTAGAAAACAATCGCATTTTTAGAGGTTTGGGAAAATCTCTGAACAACTTAAAGCAGATGTACAGTGCAATTATTCCTACACTGGTGAAACTGCCACCAAAAAGCCAGGAAAGGAGACGTTCTTTAGCTGGCTTTTTTTAGAGCCTGTTGTATTTTACATGATAAGAAGGAGGGAGGGTGGAGAGAGACGTTTCTCACCAGGGAACCAGAAGCCAGCCTGAAAAATCTACCCCACCACAAACGCGTTCAAAATGTCGGATTTGCTCTCACGCCCATCTAAAGAGGGGGCTTGAGAGAGAAGGCCCCCCCCGGGGCCGCCGCAGGCCGGCAAAGCCGCGGGGCAGCGGCGGGGGGAGATGCGCAGCTCCAAAACCGTTAGCTTTTCCTCTACGGTTTATTTTCCCTTTCTCTTCCTGTCCAAATATTTTAAATTTCCGCGCCTTAAATAACAGTCTGATTTATTTAGTTAGTTTCCTCTGCAGGCCTCGCTGCCTCTTGGTTTCAGCCCCCCCCCCCCCCATGCCTGCAGGGC